TTAATTAAAGGTAATTAATAAGGAGGAACAATATTTTATTATTCAGAGATTTACAGCTTTTTTCTTTTTTTAACAATTTTTTTTTTTTCATTGGCATGTTTAACGTATAACTGTAGAATTATTTTCTGTTTAACTGCAAAGTCAATAAGAAAGATGTTCTATGGATTTTAAAATCGCTCAAACACACATACGCTTGCACGTATGCACTGACACACACACTCACACACCTCCAGAGTGCAGGTAGGAGGCACGTGAGAGGAGTCAGACCGAGTTCTATAGCTACTCTCAACGGTGTAGCCTCCAGGGTTCCATACATTATAGCAAGCCACTTGCAGGAGAGAGAGAGAGAGAGAGAGAGAGAGAGAGAGATTACTACGAGACTCTCGCCATTTATTGTTTTTGACAAGGGCTCTGTGATGTGTACAGATGTATTTACCACGTCACAAATCATCTTCACCGTTTTACTCGTTTACATCTAAGTTTCTGACTGGCACATTACGGTTGAAAAAGTCCACTTTAGTATCACATGGTATCTCAGTATTCTCTTCCCTGTAACTCCTCTTTTGTGCTGTCACTAACCGGTGGAGAGTTATCTTATTGTCTTCAGTGAGAGCTATTTTTATGGCCTCTTCTAACGTCTTGGACTTGATTTCTGCAACGTTTTAGTTTAACGGAGCCTTAAAAGCATACGAGAACTGCCTGACTGCTTCATTACTTGATTTTTTTTTGCCGCTTTTTTCTTGGTCCGCGTCAAGTATGAGTTTTCCTCATGTGCTATAATTATTCCATTATCTAACTACTGAAGTTACCTGCAATATTATGTGATTAATTCGTTGTCTTGTTAAATAACAATTTTAATCTTCTCTTGAAGTGTTTCTACGCCTCCTTCGTTCTCAAATTTTTAAGAAAGAGCTGACTGAAACTAGTCAATAGATTGAAATAATGAAAATCCTATGCAGAACTAACTGTTCGTTGTGCCTCACAATTCATTTACAAAAAGTTCTATGAATTATTTTAAATACTTGGCAGAGATTATTGATTTCATCTTCTTAACTATTGAATTTAAAAAGAGAAACTGCACGGCTTCTGCATCATACAGCAATATACTAATTGTGGCGCTGTAAACATACGTTGTTATATCAAAATTTGTTGCTGAAAATGACGGGCTTTTTGCTCGCTACCTATGAGTACAAGGAAAAAATCGTACGTTGTAGAGCTTAGGAAATTTTTGTCAAGTATTGTCTAGTTGCCTGTTATTTATTTACTGGTTTATTGGTTAATTAAGCAAACAAGTAGGTGAGACAATTCTGTTTTCCTTGTTCCGGTGTGTGAAATAACACTGGCACACAAAAAAAAGTTGACTGTACTTTTGACCAAGCCCACTTATCTTTATATATTTTAACGTGCTGAATCTGACTCCAGATTTGTGTGACCCTTACACCCTCATAATTTCGAGTAAATTGAGAAAAACTGCGAAAAATAGCCGAAAATCGTAAAAAAATCACATTTTCAGCTCTTCAAACAGTCAAAAGAAATTTCGAACACATGTGATAAGGATGATTTATTTGTATTTTGATGCGTTAAATTTAAATCTGAGGTAAGTTTGATCCGTACACTCTTAAAATTCCGAGTAAATCGCGAAAAACTGCAGAAAGTAGCGGAAAATCGTAAGAAATAATATTTTTAGCTATTAAAACATTCAAAAACATTTTTGTTAACACGTGTCAAGAATTATTTTTATGAATTTTGACTTCTTGAATCCGGATTTGACGTCCTCTTGACCCGTGTACCCTCAAAATTTCAATAAATTAAAAAAAAAAACAGCAGAAAAACTGCCAAAAGTAGCAGAAAATCACATTAAATTGCAAAAAATTGAATTTCTATGCTCTTGCTAAGTATAAAAAAAAATTTGATGCAGATTTTGTCTAATTCTCATGTTTTATTTTTCACTTAGTTGACGTTAGGGAAATGTTCAGCTCCAAAACTTTTAAAATTTTGAGGAAATCGTATAAACAGAAGGAAATTGCGTTTGTGGGCGTTAAAAATCTCCAAAGTTTTTTTCAAATTTTTTTGAAATATGTTTTTCTTGTACGTCTAAAAATGATGTGAGAAAACAGCAAAAAAACGAGAGTTATGAGTGTCGAGTATCAATATCATGGATATAAAATAAAGCAAAAAAGGTGGACGCATGTGAGTCATGTTTTCGTTTATATTGCTCTCACACTTTCTCCTTCTTGTAGCTAACTTTTTTCTCTTCGAACAACCTATGAACCGTGTTACTCTTCCTCTTACTTCTCTCTTGAAATGCTTTCCTCTTCAATGTCCGACAGAAATCAGCCATAATGTTAATATCCCATTTTCCTTGATACCTATTTTCCATTTCACTTATATCTTGATGAAATCTTTCTCCTTGCTCTTCGCAGTAATCTCCAAGGTTGTCTGGGGAATAATCAAGGTTAGAATGTAAGCAATTTTATTTGAGACTTATTAAGCAACCCAATTCTTTGAAATTGTCTAACAACTCTTTAACTATATTCTGGTAATTCTCAGAAATAGGACTTTGGTATTGGGAAACTTCAAATTCAGATTACGTAAGAACTCATTTCTTGTGCCTGTAACCAGGGCACCTTAACGTGGTGACGGTGGGCAACGGGTCCATGTGGCAGAGTCCCTGGGTTAACGGCGTTTTGAAGAAGAACGTGAGGAAGATAACAAGAAAGACGATTACTTACCAGTCTCTAAGAGGGGTGCTCCTCAAACATTCACCCAAGAAGAATTAAATGATTTGATACGAGATGTTGGTTTACCCAAAGGTGGAGCTGAATACCTGGCAACAGCACTCAAGATGAAGAATTTGCTATCAAAAGGAACTAGTGCTCACGTTTATCCTGATAGAGATAAGGAGTTTCGAGAATTCTTCACCAAAGATAAGGAAAACTCACTGGTATTCTGCTCTGACGTAAAAGAATCAGTTGATGATTTGAAAACAAATATTTACAAGGACAAAGAGACATTAATGAAAAGTTTTCGATGATCTCAAAGTTTCAACTCTAATACTAGGTCAACAATCTTGATTAACAAAAAATCTCTGCTTCTTATGTTTATGGGACAGCAGAGATATGAGAAATCATTAAATTAAAAAAGACTGGGCAAAGAGAACTGAATTTTATCCAGGATCCAGGATCCAGGATTGAGGAGCATCGTACGTAAGCCATTGATTGAACATTCCAAATTTTTGGTGCCACCCCTCCATATCAAGTTGGGTCTCATGAAGCCGTTTGTCAAAGCTCTAAATAAAGATGGTAATTGCTTTTAATATTTAGGTGAGAAGTTTCCCGCGATAAGTGATGCAAAACTAAAGAAGGGTATTTGCAATGGTCCTCAAATTCGTGCTCCATTTCATGATGACAATTTAATTACAAAGATGAATATAGAAAAAGCAGCATGGCAAAGTTTTAAGAGCATATCTCAGAACCTTTTAGGGAAAGGGAAGAGTGAGAATAACCAAAATATAGTTGAAGAGTTGTTAGATAATTTTAAACAATTGGGTTGTTTGACAAGTCTCCAATTACATTTTGTATGTTCTCACCTTGACTATTTCCCAGATTACCATGGAGATTACAGCGAAAAGCAAGGAGAAAGATTCCATCAAGATATAAGTGAAATGGAAAATCGGTATCAAGGAAGATCGGATATCAACATGATGGTTGATTTCTATTGGACATTGAAGAGAGAAACATTTCAAGAGAGGAATAAGAGAAAGAGAGACCTGCTTCATAGGTCGTTTGAAGAGAAAAAAATTAGCTATCCAATGTTAAATGTTTCTCGTATGGCACTATGTATGCCTCCTGATAGTCGCTTCTAATTTTTGAACAATAACGTATGAAATGAGTAAAAAAATATAAATTGTGATGATGACAACCAACCTCAAGATGTTAATAACGTTTTTTGTTAAACAATTATTTATCACTTATGTTGGTGAGGAAAGAGTGTATTGTCAATCGACTCGTCTCCACTCTTAAGACAGACTCGTATTATCTCTCTTAACTGACTTGGTGTTCTTTATCTGCCCTTATCTTCCCAGAGTTTTTATCTTTTCGAGCCCAAACTAGGAGATGCGCGTACTTGCATAGTTATACGCTATTACATATGACAGTTAAAATCTATTATTAAAATTTTAGAAACTTTTGTAGTAATTGTTGTCAATCTCTGAAATTTTGAGATTGTTAGAATGAAAACGCTAATTAAAATTTTTTTATTACCATGCACCCGCAAAACTTTTTAGCTGTTTAAAAAAACAAAATCTTCTCAATACTACTTTAAAAACATCAATTCTATTCATCTTTTTTTTTCTATTACGAAACTTAAAATTAAAATTAAAAAATATTATTAGACTAAAGACAAAAAAAATTCTTTATATTTATGCAATGTTTTGCTTATCTCTGAAAAGTATTTGTTTTTAAGTTATGAAAAATTTCTTTGTTAGGTCTACATTTTTTCTAATTTTTTCTTATACTTTTGTTAAAAAATATCGTATCTAAAAATAAAAAGTGCGTAACAAAGTCTATTATTTCAATTAATTTTTATTTGATTTTATGACACCAGTATTGTTAGTTGTTGCTAGCTAATCTTCTACAGTAAGACCTTGTTATCATAATTATGTGTCTTTATCTTTGTACAGCTTTAAATGTAAAATTTACGAGTCTTTTAATTACAAGCGTATCTGTATAATAATAAGTATTTCTTGATCTTAGACAGTAAGTCTTTATAACGTCAAAAACGTTAGAATACACTAATTTTCTTTCAAATTTAATTATACTACGAAGACATTGTAATACAAAGAAAAGCTGCAGTCCAAGTAAGGAACAACAAAAATTTTGCTCTATAATGACCCAATTGCAAGGCACTTTTACTTTTTCTTCAACAAATGTAAACATACTTTTGCGAAATAGTGAAGCACAGATTCTTGTTTGAAATAGGAAATGTTATAAAATTGTCACCTGTATAGTAAGTCCATTGTAGAACGCACTGGGTACACGTTAGAAAAGGTGGAAGCTGTACCTTATACCTAAAAACAGCATTTTTCTCTGACTCTACCGGAATGATATACTTTAAGTCTCCAGTGCTTGATAGATAAAGTGGATACCTGTAGAACAATTTTTCCTTATTTCTTATAATTAAAAACACTAAAGACAAAAATAAAATTACATTAATATTCAAACTCATAAAGTCACAATTCAACTAAAAAAAAAAATTTTAATTTGAATTGATCCACTTATTATTTTTTTTTGGGATTTCTAAAGTATTTATTAAAATGTTATAGCTTATATTTATAAATCCTAAGCCTTGATAACTTCTGAAATCAGAATTTGTAATCAGTTAAGTGTTATACGACACTCATAGTATTAAGCTATTGTGTACTAATACATTAACACAATCAAATACAGTCATATTAAATTTTAACGAGCACTCTATGCAAATCTAAAATCAAATAGAAAAGATAGCACTCTATGTCAACATAAAATCACGACACAGCAATGTCTCAATGTATTCATTGTTGAATTCATAGATTTACTAGCTAAAAGACAATATGAGTCAGTTAGATTTTATTAATGTATATGTACATGGCAGTGGAATACTAGGAATGCCAAACAAAAAGTGAATGGTGCCTAATGACGATACAAAACTTATTAGTTCTTTGATTTTGGGCTTAGAACTTTGCCAGGTTATTGGGTTACCAGGGTTCCCAGGTTAGCATGAATACAACTTGTTGCCACTTTGTGCAAACTACAAAAATTTCTTAAATAATATGAATTATGGACAGTAAGCTCACCTGACCTTTTATTTTTGTTAAAAGATAAATTTGATGGGAACATAGTTGCTNGTTAGAAAAACTGTTTACAAATACAAGAAACCCCACCAACCCCCCCATTTTGTGTTAAGGTACAGATAATAACATGTAGTATTACTGTTTTACCCTCTAAACGAAGAGATTAAGAAATATCTTCCTTCTTTACATATTGTGAAAAATGTACACCTATAAGAAAAAATGTACGTTTGTACAACTATTACTTATGGGTAAGTATACATCGAATTAAAACTGTTTTAGCAAATGCAATGCATAAATATGAAGAATCAAGTACAAGAGCTAATAAAAACTTTATTCAGTATTATTCGATTTCTTTAGACGTGTTTTTTTCATTTTTATCACAGTAAATATATTTTTAATGCCATGTGTAATGACATGTGTAATGCCATAATGTATTATACATAAAGTTTTCCAACCAATTGCCTGCATGGAATACCACATGGCTTTACACATACTTTTCCATTAACAATTTCAGAAATGACGAACTGTGTAATTACTACCGGAATTACGTCATACCTTGTACTAGGATTCATAACCTAACACAATTCCTGAATCCACTTTTTTGTCCCATTTTAAATCTCTTTTTTCCTCTTGTCTTCTTACAAAAACTCTTCTTCCATAAATTAAAAAAATGTTTATACTAGGCTTTTCCTTAGACATAATTTCAAAAGGTGTTTTATTATTAAACAGTATTAGTGACCATTCTGTTTTTCAAATAAGCTGCTGTTTTATCTATTTTAGGGTAAAATTAATAATTAACCTCTGCTTCTTTTAATAAACATCTAGACATAACCATTATATCACTGTTATATTTTCTTGCTGTTTCCTTGATTTCATGTACATAAGGTGGACACGGTTCAATAAATATACTTTTATCGATTGCAAAATTATTGATATCCATATTCATTAATTTCTTTCTATTATCACATTTTAGTCTTTTTATTATTTTCACTGTTATTTGTATTTATGTTGCCATTTTTGTTTTCAACATTGCTTTCATTTAAACTAATTTATACTATGTAATTTTTTGATTCTAAACAATATATATATATACATATATTTAAAATAAAGGAAATGAGACAATTACTGTTCATCTTAAGAAACTCTGGATGTAGACAACACCGGTTAAAGGTAGCTATGGTATACTATAGGAATACAAAAAGCTGCTTCCAAGATAATAATAGTATATAACCATTTGCAGAGATAAATTGTACAAATTGTTTGAAATGTTGTCAAATTACTTGCTTGTTACTAATGAGCACAGCAAGTATACGATAACTTATATGTGATTTTTTTTTAATTTGGTTAAATACTTTATCAGAACGTTTTCCGCACTTTTGGCTTTTTACTAGCTGCACAAGTTATATAACATTTTCTCTAAAATAACTTAAGATAAGACCCTATTTACCAGAATGCATTAAACACTCTAGTGTGTAACTAATTTTACAAGAGTTTGCCATTATTTTTTTCTTAAGAATAACCAAAGTTAAATTATTCCAGAGGGCAATTATTAAATAACTACATTACTTTAATCATTCTATAATGTACAAAAATCCTAATTACAACATGCCAATTACTAACTCCTTTGTGAGAAACCTTACAATTTACTTCTACCATAATAATCAATCACAAATCTTCCTTGTTTTTGCCCTCTCGCTACAAAATACAGTTTAGAATTTTTGTTTTTATTTTTGTATTAATATTAAATAATTTAAGAATGCATAGCAAAATATATCCCATCACTTTACCTCTTTTATATTTATCACTGTTTGAGAAATTTGATTTTGTTTGCTGTTAAATTAAATATAATATTCATATTATTCAACCACAATTTCAGAAGTATATTAATGTGTATCTTTAATCTAGTTCTTTTTACTTTTTAAGGTTTAAAGATGCTGTACAAGAACTAAAACCCATTGACAGAGGGTTCTAGGGCACCCAATCGTGAAGTTGAAATTTTGTAGAATCATATCGCAGATAATGTATAAACATAAGTTCCCCTTCTATAAAACGATATTGTGCATGAAGGTAAATCATGAACCTTTTAAATTAATCTGTATTTGTTAGTTGGGTGTGGTTGTAACAAATATTTTTACAGTTCGTAACCAAACAAAAATGAATTATTATAAGAAATGTGTAAATAAAATCAGAAAAAGTAGGAGAAAAGTATAGTCATTGTTAAATGAATATACTACAAGGTATACAAGGTAGTAAATCAATAATAAAACACTTGTTATGATAGTAAATTAAAATATTTTTCAATAGAAACAAAGATTAAACAAGATTACAAGTTCTCCACTCAGTATACCGAGAGACTATACAAAAGCATGCATGCGTGGCAAGGGCCATGTTCTGTTTTTCCCATCTGCATCACAGTAAAAACTACAACTTCTATCCCTGCCATATGGATATTACTGCATACACATCTTATATCAATTTACTTGTATTTTATCACGCCTCCTCAAATTTATATTACAATTTAACTTTTAGTATCTTAAACTACCTTACATTCAACATATTTTTGTACCTTTCAACCTTATTTCTGCCTTTAGCTATGGTAAAAATATCTGCTATATTCTCTTCTGAATTAACTTTTACAAGATCCACTTCGTTTTCGCAGAATTTTTATTTACATAATGATAATGAGTTTTAATGTATTTCCACTTTTAAGTAAAGTTTCCAAACCTAGCTACACAAATCACACCAGAATTCTCTTTATACATTTTCATTAGTTTGCAAACCTTACTTCCCAAATCAAGCAATAAATCTTTTACAACGTTCAATGAACTCACACACTCAGGCAACGCTGCCAACTCGGCTTATGTTGGTGATTTTTTAACACTATTCTGTTTTCTAGATTTTTAAGTAATTACATTCCCATAAATTTTTATTACATATTCTGTCATCAATTTTCTATTAAATATATTAGCAGCCCAGTTAGCATCGACAAAGCAATTAATAATATTACTATTACTAATTTTTTTCATAAACCAACTGTAAATCTTTTGTGAAAAATGAATATTTTAAAGTTCTCAAAGCATATTGAAAAAAGGTTTTATTATAACTGTTTTTAAATCTACTTAAATAATTCACACAGCAGCTAATGTCAGGTCTAGCTCCCGCATTTACATAAAAATAGCTCTAATTGAGTTTTTCAACCTTATATGATTACACACTGATTGCGCTGCATCTAATTTTAAATTTTGTTTCATATTACCCGCATACAGTTTTAAATTTTCGTTATCATACGTTTTTGCTAATGTTTAAATATAGTTTTTCCATTTTGATGAAGATAGTTCACGCTAATACCCAAACAAGTACTTATTTTACCTGAGTCTTACATTTAAAACAGCTTACATCATTATCATTTAACAAAACTAATTTTTTTTTTCACAGCAAAGTAATAAATCATCCACAAAATAGGTTAAACATGTATTATATTTTCCGTCTTTTAAGATACATGAATATTTTGCTTATTTTAAAATTTAACTTTTTCAATGGGTATTAAAGCAATCACACCAAGATTTTGGCCTTCTTCTTAATCCATACAACGCTTGATCTAATTTTAATACCTTATTTGAGCTATCATCATAGCCTTGTGGCTATTTCATATATACGTTAAATGTTATTTTTTCATTAAAACAACACTGTTTTGACATCCATCTGTTCAATAATTTAATTATCTTTAGAGCTTGCATTCTTGCAGCTGGTGAATAAAAGTTATGAATTATGTAACTATTGTGGTATCCTCTTACTACACACCTAGCTTTCAAAGCATTGTTAGCCTTTTTAGTATAAGCCCATTTTAAATTTCAAGTTTTTTTTATTATTCGGTTAATTTACAAATATCTAAGTTTTATTTTTGTTTGAACAATCTATTCCTCTATTCAACGCTTTTTGTCAATCTTCAGACTCATAACTATTCATCGCATCATTATAAGAAACAGGCGTCTCGGCGATGGCATTATTTTCATAAATAATGTAACTGTATCCAAAATTTGTATTTCTGTACCTATCAATCTCTATTTTTTTTCTAGTTGACCGTCTTGAATTAAAGTTTTTATTTTCATCACTGTTATTTGTATTTATGTTGCCATTTTTGTTTTCAACATTGCTTTCATTTAAACTAATTTATACTATGTAATTTTTTGATTCTAAACAAACACAGTTTGTGCCATTCTTGACAATATGAACGTATCTTGTAACTACTCATTTATTATTTATCAAAACTCTATAACCAACATATTAATGATGTTTTTAAAATAATCAGTGTTTCT